ATTATGAGTCTCTGTGTTGAAACTTCTGCTGTGTTGCAATTTGGAATCAGGAGAGAGAAATCTTACCTCACCAACAGCAGCTTTGGCCTCGTCTGCTGAGCAGCAGTACGGACTGTCCCCAGATGAGACGCACGTGTTTTTGCTGTTCGTGAGACAGTGTTAGAACACAGAGTTGACATTTTAATGAATGTGAATCTATCACATTCAGTTGCTTAAACTAAAATCAATACAGCAACTGAACTGCAGTGTTTACCAGTTGAGTTCACCAGCTTTAGTCTGCTGGCCAATGAGGGCTTTCCAGAAGCTGTGAGTGCTCTTGATCACTTCAATGGCAAAGTCCTAAAACAGAAAAGAGAAATCATCAATGTGGGAGCGAAGCATCCAGACAAGCCTCAAGCTACCTTCATATTACAATATTACAGTGGTCAGAAGTTAAATATGAAACTTTCACTACTAAACGATTGGTACAATTGATGGATCAATAGATGCTACTTATAGGCAGTGAGTTAGGTGATACAGTCTGGAAATACAAATATCCTAACTGTGTTCTTAATTTCTTTTTTCATTCTTATTTAAAACAGAATAATGTTTAAGATTCAAACTTTTTCAGGCTATGTAGGAACTTCTGAATATTGCTAAAAAAAACTTTTTTTTTTTTTCCCCCGGCAGAACATGAAGATGCCCAGAAGGAAAATGATCAATCCTAATTAACAACTTCTATTTAATCAGAATACCTTATAAACAGCTTAAATGAAGATAAATGAGGTGTGTTGGCATGAGCAACCTTGTCCTTGAACTCCTCGTTGAAAGCAAAGCGGTTCTCTGGTTTCCCATCTGGCACTTTGTACCTCCTGAACCAGTCCACCGTGGCCTCCAGGTAACCAGGTTTCAGGCGCTGGACGTCGCTGATGTCTGAACATCGACAAGGACGGTGTAGCAATCATGATTTAGCCAATTCAGGAGAGCAGTTGCATTTTTTAAAAAAAAGAAGAAAAAAAAAAAAGAGGAGAAAACTTACTGCTGAAGTCTTTGGCTTCGGGGTCCTCTACGTTGATTGCAATCACTTTCCAATCAGTTTCTCCCTCATCAATCATGGCCAAGATACCGAGCACCTTCACCTTGATGACCTCTCCTCGGGTGCACACCTTCATGAGGAAGTTTTCAGGTTGTCAATCATTTATAAAATGTCAAAGGAATACGTACAGACAGACGTTAAAGTGAAACATGTACCCTGCTTCCAATTTCACAGACATCAATGGGATCGTTGTCACCGCAGCAGTCAGTGTCTCCATCCTTATGGGCAGGATCCTCCCAAGTCTGAAACACCGTAACGGAACGTATTACCACTTAATGTTTACTGTTACATGGTGATAACTAACGCACACAACAAAATAATGACGGAGCACACAGACCTGAGGGATTGCACCGTAGTTCCATATGTAGCCTTTGTGAGGAAAAACATTAGCCACGTAGCGTAGCTTCCCCTTCTTCACGTCCTGCTTTATTGGATTTAGAATGTCTTTTGTAGCAATCTGGAAAACAAAATCAGACATTTTAAAATTAGAGATGTAATTGTCTGTTAAAAATGTGTCATTAATGTGGCTAAAAATCAAAATAGGTAGGTGTGATGTTGCAGCCGTTAGTAATAATTACAGCCAGAATTTCAGGTTCAGCTTCAGTTATCACATGAATCCGATGAGTATGGAGCCACTGCTGCACTGACTTTCTTTCGTTTTCTTTATCACATAAAATAGTCATGATCAGCACTTTATTCCTGTCCTCTGGAGCAACACAATAAACTGATTCACCACCATTATCACACTATCAGTGTGTGCAATTTGAAAAGCAATGGACTGCTTAGAATCAATATTTGGATGTATATTATATTGTAAATGATTGATTGATCAGTCCATCATTTTTGATTGATCAAAAATGAACTTTGATCGATCCGTTTCGTGGACTGATCAATTTATTTGGCCGGCTGACACTTTGAAGTCCACAGAGGATGTACGTTCTGAGATCCTGAAGTTCAAGAATAATATTGCAGTGATTTTTGCCTTCCTGCAATCTCAATTCTTATCACATTGCAACAAACGTCAGAGCGCCGAGCCTTGTTCTGCTGCAAGTTTCTTTTTGTAAAATGAGACACGTCCTCTCTGCTGTATCCACGCGACTTCTTAATAGAAGGGATTGTTGCAAGGGAAATAATTCATCATCATTAGTAGATAATCAAATCAGACTTTCTGTAATTGGGCATGAATTAGGCAGGACAGTGATTTAGGAGGTGGACCAGGTTGTCTAGTTAGGAGCCCAGAGATAACATTCCTTGCGACTTGGTGCTGTATAAATAAATTGCCTTGAAACATCAGAAAATGTTTGTACCCGAACAAAGCAGAAGAAAATTGATAGATAGCAATAGCTCATATCTGTGCAACACTTAAATAAATGCATTTACTTTCCGCAAATTTGTGTTTAGAGTGGTGCAAGAACTTTAACATCTTAATAAAAACCTGATAAGGTGTTGATAAGAGCTCACTAAACTCTTACAGAAGATGTTTCTTGTGCACTTTAACCCCATGACAATAACTGTAGTTTTTTATAACAATAAACATTTTCTTTATGTAAACTTTGGTGTTTGGTCTGCATTTCTGTGATACAGAAGAATCTGTTATAGTTTGACAAACTAGGGCGTAAAAAAGACAGTCTCTTACCTCCATCTTTGCATTTGTCCATCTGGGTACTTCAACAACCATGTGGAAGATGTTCTAAGAGAGGAAAGAAAACATTCACTTTCAATTACACCTTCTGCATTAAAAATATTAACTAAATGAACTGTTTTGTAATCTTACAATTGTTCATCGGCAGCCATGAGCGATATTGACATAGCCCATGGAAAGCAAAGAGTAAAGGGTGCAGCTTTCTAAACAGACTATGACCTTGATGTTGTGCAGAGTATTATCCAAAGCAGTTGTGTGCTGGGATAGATGAGCCTGAGAAATGCATTTACTGCAGCATTATTGCTATAACCGAACCACTGTGTGGCCTTAAATTGTGCATAAAAGTTTAAATATGCACATTTATTTGTCCAAAGGGTGAAATCGCTTCCTTACCTGGCTTTCGTCAGCATATATTGGTATGTCATGGAATGGGGAGATGTACTTTCCTTCCGCATTTTCTGTGAAGTAGTCAGATTGAACACCAATTACCACAGCAGGTAAGTAATCAAAGGAATCTGAAACATTTTATATCAGCAGGCAGGCGTTCTACACAATAAAAGAAATGACACATAATGTCCCAAACTTTTACTTTCACTTCAACGCCTCAGATTATTGTGTGGATTACTTAAAAAGTACCAACTACTTCCTACCAATTACACTTTGCCAATATTGGGCTCCATTTTATGACTGGAATACCTGGAATCAGCATTTATAACTCTTTTTGAAAACTTATATTGTACCAGAAATTCTTTAAGTTTGGGCACAAAAATTGGCATTTAACCATTTGTCTACCAGAAAACACAAAGAGCTGTTTGTCTCAAAGATCACATTTATCAATGCCCTTATTGTATACAGAGAATGATGCCCCGCCCCTTTAGCTTTCTACATGACGTGTTAAAACACCTTGGGAGGTTTCCAGAAATAAAGTTGAATGGGCGGTGTTCTTTTACAGAACAATGTCTGAGAAATTCATATAAAACGTGAAGAAGGATCGCTAAATTGTATTAACTTTGTAAAAACAACAACAAAATAGATCTGAGACGTGAGGATGACTCAAACGTCGCCCCGCAGGACATACAAAACAGAATCTCTACATTTCTTTAGGTTCCCCTGCGCTAAATCCTACGAGAATAAATGAATTACTGACACGTGGGAGGTTGCGGCTGGCCTGCGGTGTCAACAGTGTCCCCAAAGTGGCAAACAAAGATAAAACTCTGCTATTTTTACTCATTGCTTACTTACTAAAGAACAAGCGGTAGCTGAGAGAGTTCGCGTTTCCCCTCTCTTCGACCGTGAAGTTCATTTTGAAGTGTGGGCTTCTGAAGTTGCCTGCTTGCGGATGGAGGATGACGGCGGAAGAACACGGCAGACCCCGGTTGGTAAGCAACTGGAGCCATTGCGCATGCGTCTGCCGTTTTCGTTTATGGTGCCTTCAGGAGCTGTTGGAAATGTTTGATAATGAAGATTATGAAAGTTTTGACTCGAACATGTTGAAATAATTTTGAGGAAATAAACGCAACGCAGAAAAAAAGAGATAATATTTATTACTGATACTTGTCTAAAAATAGCAACTTCAGTCTAATTCAAGTTTAGGTCATTTATAAATCTTTTAAATTTTGTTTCTTAACATATTTGAGTTTTCAATCTCAGTTCCTATGAAATTTGAACTAATCAGAAATACTGTTAGTAAATTAATTCAGAATAATAGATTATGGAGTAAAATTTTACAAAAGTAAAACAAATAAATATAGTTTTTTTATATATATATAACTACCACTTTGAAAATTTTTGGCCTATTAAAATATTTTCTGATTTTCTTTCTCTATCCCAATTGTATGTTTTATTATGTTTGGTTTCCAAAAAATATTTCTAAAAATAGAAGCAGGGCCTTGTAAGATTTAACTGGGGACATGCGTCGTGTTAGTATAATGAACACTTTCAGATTGAATTTAAAAAAAAAAAAACTCATACTTTTGCTCATAGGCCAGTCACATTCAAAAGGTTTTCTGGGAATATGTGTCATCTATATCAGATAATGAATATATTTATTTTTATGAGTTATCAGTGTCTCTCATGTTGTGAGTGATCTTTTTGTTTTTGACAAATGTCATGAACACAGACGTCTCTTAAATAAATTGCCTTGAACATCAGAAAATGTTTGTACCCGAACAAAGCAGAAGAAAATTGATAGATAGCAATAGCTCATATCGTGCAACCGTTTCAGATTTTCCCAAACAGATGGTGACGTAGCGCTCACTACGTCACATCCCCCCTCAGCCCGTCGTGCTTCCTGCCTTGCTGAGGGAGGGGACGGTGCTGACGGCTGGGAGGACGAACGGAGAGCCGAGAAAGCTTTCTGGAAGCCGCAAAGAAGTGGAAAACGGCCCGGGTTTCCACCGTCCGTCGGGAGATAAGCACCGCAGTTTTCCGCAGCCGCTCGGATTTGTCACCGAACAGGCGCCGAAAAATGTCGACCAGTCGTCAGCTGAGCGAGAGCAGGGCCATCCCGACCAGGACGGTGTTGATCAACGACACAACGCAGCTACCTCATGACTACTGTACCACTCCTGGAGGCACTTTATTCTCCACCACCCCTGGAGGTGAGAACACCTGCTTTTCCTCTGCGGTTTAATCAAATGTGTTTGTTTCGGTCTCACTTAACGGGTAATGTTGTCTATCTGCGTGGCCTAGCCCGGGTTGTCATCCTGATCAAAACAAAAACAAAGATTAGACCCACCCCTCTGGTCTCTGGCTGCTTCCTGATTGGCCTTTTAACGTCGTAGAGCGTCTCATGGTTGCGTTACCTGACATTGGACTTGCACAGGTCTAAATTAGTAGCGTTGGTATTATAGACTGAACGTTTCATCTCGATATTTAGTTGAGCTATTGTGATAACGATAAATGTGGCGATAAAAACGATAATTATTGCTTCTTTTCGATATAACTGTATGAATGCGCCTGGGTGTCATATAACCTCACAAACACATATACTGCTGTTGAAAAACATTCAGTGCGCTACTTTAGGACAGTCACATAAAGATGCGTGATTTGCGTCACTAAACTACGCACAATAACTACAGTAATCATATTTTCTAATTGCTGATATTCATTGAACAAAGTGAAGAAAATCGTAAAACTAACAATTCTGAGAATACAGAGAGCTTTGGGTTTTTTTTTAAATACTTGGAATTTCTCATAATAATAAATAAATTCTTATCGTAATAGGAAGTTTATTACAATAAATGATATGAAAAATGACTACCCCTAGTCTAGCTATAGAATCTGATAAGTGATTCTGTTAAATTAGGAATTAGGAAGCGATTAGTGGAGGGCAAGTTGCGACTTGTATGCTCACAAATATTATGCAGGTAGCACATATTATTTTATACAAGGAAGCAAATTACTTTATGCGTTGCTGTTTCACAATACCATACTCATAATCTCCAAGCATATTGACTACTGGTTAAAATGTAAAAAATACTTTGTAATTTCTGAACTCTACATAAGAACTTTACATTAATGCATATTGACTTATGAAGGATTCCATCTTTTTTTTCGTGCTTGCAACGAACTTAGCGATGTATTCCTAACTGCATTTTTTATTTTTTTTACTTGTTGAGGAAGATAAAGGAATTCTAAAGATAATAAACTACTAAAACTAAAAATGGTAAAAGTATTAAGCTTTAACCAAAAATTTGACAATGAAACAAGAGATCATTTTTAAGAGCCTTGAAGTTAAAGGACTTTCATGTATTCAAACTTAAACCTGATGTACCTTTTAGTCACAACAGAATCTTGCATGAGACATCTGAAAAAATAAGCATGCAAAAATCCACTTGAGGCATATTGTTCCTGTGAATATTTTTGTCGTTTGTGTTTGATCATCAAGTTTCTGCATCTACTGCTGAACACTCCATATGGGATAATTCAATGCGTTTGAAGACACATAAATGTGTGTAAACAAGTGTTAGCTGTACCCACTCAGAGTATCCCTCAGGGTACTTGGAGGGAAGATCAGGAAAATAATCTACTTGCGTCTCATTGAAGGAACTCGGATCATTTACGACCGCAAGTTTCTGCTGGACAGGCGGAATTCCCCCATCGCTCAGACTCCTCCTGCACATCTGCCTGTCATCCCTGGAGTGACCAGCCAACATATCCTGACTGAGAACCAGAAGAACGAAGCCAACAACCACATCAACAACCATGATGGCAAACCCACTACAGGTCAGAGTTACATAAAAAGATTGTGCTTGTTTTCAATAAGTGTTATTTATTTATGAAGGTGATGGGATCTAGATGGAAAACTAGAGCCAGACTGCCACAAAACCACAACTAGCATTAGAGCAATATTTACATGGACAGACCAAGATCAGAAATCTGCAGCTTTTTAAGTGACGTTCACGCCTTTGGACACATGACAGGAGGAAAAAGAACTGGCAAGAATCAAAAATACTTCAGAAAACAAATGGCAACACCCAGTATGAGGTGGGAACAAAGACCCAAGTTACAACCATTCAGGCCAAACCTGATGTAATAGATTATGCAGATATAGAAACCAGCTGAGCAGCATAGCTGTTTTTGTCATGTAAGAACGGTAAGGCATTGTTCTTATAAATTGTATATGTAATTATCACACAGAGAAAAAAAAGTATTAAGATGGGTGAATTTATGAAACCAAAAATACTTATTGGATAATTTATGAAGAGATTTATAAGTTATAACCATACAATCTATTAAAAGTTGTATTTTGTTCCTGCCAAACATGTCTTCTGTTATGGTGGCCAAACAGATACAATTTTACCTCCTCTATCCAAAGAACATTGTTCCAGATCTCTTGGTTTTTATCTATGTTCTCTCTGGAAAAAGTTTGCTCGTGCCAAGTATATTTTTTTGTTTTTCTTGAGAGTTAAAACTTCCTCCTTCTATATTAACAGAAGCGAGAGGCTCCTGTAGATCCTGTAAATATATTTTAGAGTTAGTCTCCTAAAACCTCGTGGGAGAACATGTTATTGCCAAAAAGAACAAATTGGACCTTTTTTGGGCCTCAAAAGTTACCAGTTCTCCAACCGGTCAGTTTGACCAAGAGCACCAGGGCTTCTACTAGAAAGCAGAAGATGAAGAGGGGTTTTATTTTTCAGTGTCACAAGAGTCAAAGGATCCATGTAAATCAACAAAGGGCTGAATTGATGAACGAAGCGGCCCAGAAATGCTTCATGTGACGTCCAGCAGGGGGCACACGTTGGCTATTTACCCGTGGAAAAAACAAAACAATTGTCTTTAAAACCGAGTCTTGTACCAGCTAAAGTATTTGCTGACGTCGAGAAGAAGAAATATTTCAGTTGAAAATCTCTAAATGATCACTACTTGCTGTTTTTGTTTCTTAGTCAAGTGCATTATTAAAAGTGTTCCTGTAGTTCTTTTTTTTTTTTTTTTTGACAAATTTCTCTGGTTTTCCTTTATCTTTAAGGTGACGACGCCCAGTTTGAAATGGACATCTAACCACCTGGAGTCACACCAGCATAAGGAAATGACCTGGCACTGTGTGTGTCAGTGGCTTGGCTTGTAGAAACCAATGTTGTGAGCCCTCATGGCAGCCATCTTTGTTAGCTCTTTGTCTCACTGCTGGATGTAATGTTTGTAAACCCCCGGGCGATTCGGTATACCTTACATGCACATACAGAGCAGCAAAGTCCGAAAACTACGGTTATCTGTGTAACAATGGATCGCAGTACAAATTTCAACCATTTTCAGTAAATGGGACCCAAATATTTTGCAGCCAAAAATTAATCAGTTTTAGTGCTCATTTTACAGCTTTCCGTGAGACCAAACTGGAAATATAAACTCATTTGACCAAGAAGAAGTACTTTTAAAAAAGAATTTGGAATCATTTTAAAAAGCTTTGATATTCCTCTGTCTTTGTTTTTAAAGACCTCTGGTTTTCTGTTTGTTTCTTTATTAAAACTACTGCAGTTACTCCAGGATCCATAACCACTTGGGACGGCTTTGATTCCAGTAACGGTACCTGAAGAAATGCTGTATTATTCTTGCTTTTCTATTAGGAAAGGACCTAACATCATTCCAAGATTTTAGTCCCAAAACAGTTTGCTGCAATATTTTATTTGTGAGTCTCCAGGAAAAAATGCTTACAAACAAATTTAGGGCAAAATTAAACAGATATAAATCATCAGATAATTGAGTATCAAATGAAGCGTAGACATAATTAGCTTAAAATATTTCTTGAATTTAATTTCAGCAAAGTACAATAATATCAAGTAATTTAAGACTTTATATAAACCCAGCCTTTTTCTCAGATATGTTATAATGGCAAATAAGACTAAGGAGGAGGATTTTGTGGGATGCCACAAAATCCATTTTAAAACTTGAATCAATTTAAATGTTTTCTAAACATTTATTATTATATTTGAGTACAATTTTAGTATTAAGGCTTTGCCGGGGCGTTAACTCTGTCCAAGCCCTTTAGATTTTATGTCAACGAAACGGATAACAATGTGCGCATTGGGCTTGATAGATGCTCTCCATAAACTGATCTGACATTAATATTCTTATCTCCATGCATCCTGCCTGCCCATGCCTTATTCAACATGAAATGCAGTGACTAGTTTCCTTGCCATCTATTTGTATTTTCTGACAGATGTTTATTTTTTCACAGTAGCGTTAAAACAGGTTATATTTTGCTTGGTCAGTGAACAAAAGGTATTTTATTTTCTTGATGATTTTCTTCCTCGGATTGGTATAAAGTTTGGAAGCGTGATTGCGCATGTGAGGCTGATGTGTTACATGACAACATGGTAAAAGTGCCACTCACTCATTTTAATCCAATGTTCATTTGTTTTATTCTAAAGTTCTTCTCTGCTACTTGGCAAACAAGTAATTGTGTTTTTCATTCAATTTTCTTTCTCTGTTTGACAGGAGACACTGACTGATGTTTGTCAAATATTATTTTTCATTTCTTTTAGCTTTGTAATTATATTTGAAAAAGTCTGTTGAAAATTTCATCCACAGGTTGCTTAAAATTATGTTTGCATCGCACCCTTTGGCCGACAAGGCTATTAAGGTATTGCAATCCATGTGGCAGATTTATTTCCAATCCATTTGATTTGATGAGGGTTAAACAGTTTGCTTTGAAAGAGATTGGACACAAATTTACTGTAACCTTCTGTTCAGATTTAAAATAACTTTTATTTCAAATGAAACTCCAATGCCAGTGGACACTGTTGCTGCAAGATCAATAAAATTCTGTAACAGATTTTGTGTCATTGTCTTTTTTTAATTTAATTTTATTCAATTATTACGAAAATGCTTAACGAATATTTAGACTAGGTATGTACAGTACGGTAGATATGTTTATTATGCGTGTTTTACATCAGGCACTCCCGCTACACTCCCTCGTCATTTTGTGCAGGCAATAATCCGGGCTGCCGCTGGTCCTTCTTTCTCTTTTACGTCCCTGAGCGAGGCCGGCGTCAAAATGGTGAGTGTCGGGGAAAAATACAATTAAAATCCGTTCAATATCGAAGCCATCCGTACACCAACACACTCGTACCATATATTAATGGACACGTTGTTTTTCCTTTTTTTAGATCCTGGCAATATCAATCAGCAATACGAAATTTTGACTAAGTTACACAGTATATTTCACAATTTAGCCTAACTGATACCTGTCCGACAGATACACACGCCCGTCTTCCCTGCTTTAAATGAGTTTGAATCAGTTACTTTTCTTTTTTTCGTATTTGTGGTCAGACATTGTCAACGAAGGTTTTTGTAATTTGTGCCGTTTTTAACTGGTAAAACACAAAACTGTTAGCCTAATGTCGCTAACGTTAGCATGCGCTCCCTAAATATGCTAATAACGCGGTGCATGTGTGAGAAGACAGTAAAATGCACTTAACTGCCAAACCGGGGTATTAGAAAGATAGAAATCAAGCAAATTTAGGTTAAAACTTATTCAGATTTTCACCTTTTGTTTTTGGCTTAGAAACAGATAATCGGATATAAATGTATTTTTGCTACTTTCAACCAAATGCCTGGAGTATGGTAGTTGCATGCTTGGCAATATGTCTCATAGACAAATGAACAGTTTCACTTGGCTTGTTTGAAATTGCAGTCTGTTCACATGACAGGTGAGGTAGGTTTTCACATGCATATAACATCTTACCTGTAGAGGTACTTGAGTTAGGACACTTTCCTCAGAAACTTGCATCAAAATATGTGAGCTGTCCCTCACCAGTAAACCTTTCAGCTAACACCTACAGCTTGTGTAGTTAATCTTTTCCTTCATTTACAGAACGACACAGTAACAGTCAGGACCCGCAAGTTTATGACAAACCGACTGCTTCAGAGGAAGCAGATGGTAAGTTTTCACATGTTCTGCCACCATCTTTGTAGTTAGTCTTGTCAAGCAAAGATGTTTACAAAGTGCTCTAATGTCTTTGTAGGTTGTTGATGTCCTCCATCCTGGCAAGGCCACAGTCCCAAAGACTGAAATCAGGGAGAAGCTTGCCAAGATGTACAAGACCACCCCCGATGTTGTATTTGTCTTTGGCTTCAGGACTCAGTTCGGCGGTGGCAAGACAACAGGCTTTGCTATGGTCTACGACTCTTTAGACTATGCCAAGAAGAATGAACCCAAACACAGACTTGCCAGGGTGAGTGTGGAACTTTTTTTTTTCTCTACATTTGAGGAAACAGAAAAATGAAACAACTTTTTGGTGTTTTTCTTGCCCAACTTTTAATATATAGGTTATTGATGCTCCCCTGTTTGATATTCAGCAGAATAATAATGCAATTCTGTGCATGCATGCAGTTTCTTAGAAAGTTTGTATGTAGCAATAAAATTACTTTCTGGTGGGTCTCCTTTATGCTGCCTATGCTGGAAGGAGTAGTTAAACAGAGCATGAGCGTGTGTATTGATAAATGTGTAACTATTCTTTGTTGTGAGCACATTTTGCAGACCTTCACCTTGTATTTTCATGTTTTGGTGATGGAGTGCTGCTTCAAAAGTCCCATGTGCCTCTCCTAGGGTTGTGTCCTGCAGTAGTCGGTACTGCACTGAAGCGGTTTGAATCTTGTCCCAAAAGCCATTCTGGTTTTTATACTTCTAATCCATCTTGGGGAAGTAGTCACGAATTTTACTCCGATTTGATCTTACGGATCAAATCAGAGTAAAATCAGTGTGATATGATTTAAAGCAAAAAGCGGCTCGGTCTGCGCAGAGAGGGGCTTGTTGATGGCAAAACCTTGAACACACAATCATGTGTGTATATAATATACATATATGTATATTACAAATATGTAATAGTTTTACATAAATGAATATATGTAAAACTATGTTCATACTTTTATATATTCATACTTGTAACAGTATGAATATATTTTTACAAGATTCTGAAGATTATAATTCAGATTTTAGTCACCATAAGTGCACCGTTAGTATTGGTCATATATTCAGTTTCTTTCATTTCTATGTTTCAAAGTTACCAAGCTGTACATTCTTCAGTGTTTAAATTGTGTTAAATGTTCTTATTTATGGAAATATTACAGCTGCTTCTTATGTTTGCCTTTGCCCATTTCATACATTTGCAGGTTTTTGATAATTTAGTTTTCAATCGTGTATCAAATCATTGTTGCTAGGGAGACATCTTGCATTGATAAGCAGTGATTTAAAGTAATTACCCTCAAATCATACATATTAGTAGGAGTTACTCATTTATTTTCATCATAATTTGTGGTATTTCATCAGTCGACTGGTCCAAACAGGAATCAGATGCACAATAAATGGGAGCCAAATGTGATCAAACTTTTTATATACAACAAAATTTAAGCTGAGATTTGAGATTTTTAACTGTTTTCTCCATAATTCATATAGTACCATGTAAACAATTATTAGGCAAGTGAATCGTTTGACTATCATTTTTAGGCATTTTTTCAAACTCCAAGTTGATTAAATTGGAATGTTAAATGGATTTAAGCAAAGCAGATGATGTGCAATGAGGGAGGGTGGGGCCTAAAGAGATCAGAGCCATACATCAAGGTTATTAAGCATCTTCTATTTTTTTTTTTTTTGTCAAAATGGGTGAAAAAAAGAGAGATTTAAACAACTATAAAATGTGAAAAAATGACCAGATGTCAGATGGATATCCTGCCTGTAGTACCTAGAAGTACAAGTAACATATGGTTTATATTATTCTCCCTTAAACAGATCAAAACAACAAAGGGAGAAGCAAAAATGTATTTTTCTTTTAGTCATTCAGCACATTAATTGTCCATAGATATTCTCCAAAGAATAAGTTATCTCAGGATAACTTTTACTCTCTGAAGGTTTAACATTTTAGTTTAATTGAGAGATTAGTAGTTGGTGATTAATAAAACAGCAACTCTTTGGGTGTGATCTCTCCAAGGGCCTGCTGTGTTAAAGTAGATTTTTATTGACCTCTCATGATCTACATGTCTGCACTTTGACAGCTACATGTCTGCACTTTGACAGCTGCATGTCTGCATGCTGATAATAAAGAGCTGCAGTAGTAATAATGTTCCGTCTTTTCCTCTAGCATGGTCTGTATGAGAAAAAGAAGACCTCCAGGAAACAACGCAAGGAACGCAAGAACAGAATGAAGAAAGTACGAGGCATCAAGAAGGCCAGTGTTGGAGCTGCTGGCAAAAAGGTACAGTGACACTGAAGCACATTTATGAAATCAAAATGGTTATGCCGGTGAAAGTTTGTCAGAAGAATATTTTTACAAACAACCTGTAATCTTCTATGGCATTTCCTTGCACCCTATTTTTTTTCAACATCATTATTCTTGTGTCTTTCTCCTCCTTTTCCCCATTTTAATTTGTTTCTCATCTTTCCAACTTTGTCACATTGTCTTCGGGAACTGTAGAAGGTAAATGTAGTCTTTAAGAGGATTAACTGCATCGTGTTGATCATTCTGGAGTCCTAGACGGCAGCTAACTCCTGCCTCTGTACTCTGGCCTAACAGAGAAGCCATAACACTTTTCCTATTTGGATGTATTTTCTGCATCCAATGTTTTAGCCTTGGATTATTACTGAGCTGTCTGCTCCCTCCTCCTAGTACTAATCAGTAAAACTAATTTAGTAGATGTTTATTTTTTGGAAAAGTGATGATGGTAAAAGGAGATTCTCACTAGTTGATGTGTTTTTACAGATGCACTAACCAGTTGCAGCCCCTGGTGCAGTTTTCGTAGTGTATATTCCTACCCCTCACCCTTGTAGCATCAGTCTGTGATCCACGTGTTTTAACTCTAAACTCTGGATTTACAAATCTTGCTTGGCTTTGTGCTGTTCAAGCTGGTTGCTTAAGTAGCACTAAGAAACATATTCTAACATATTGTGTATATTGTCGTAGCTCTTGGATGTGATGCAGGTCCATTCAGAAATCTTTTCTATTCCACATTTGAACTTCTTAACATGTCAACTTTATTTTTGTTCCACTTTTCGTTCTTCACTTGGCTTCCCGTGGATTTCTTTTGCAGAAGTGAAGTTTTCAGTTTTGCAGGTATCAAAGCAGTAAAGCATGGTGTGCCATTGTGTTGCACATCCTAAACTGGTAGCCATGAGCTGTGCCATGCATGTCACTACTTTTCCCAGTAGCTTTCCTTCAGTGATTCTTCTTCTGTGTCTTAGACTTTTCTGATGTAGTGGGATTATCTATTAGGCTTTCCCCTGTTTTCACTTAAAATTAAACACAACTGCTTTTATTAGACCATGAAGTTAACTGAACCCAAGATTAAGAGCCGCATGTTGGTAGAAAGTTTTGTGGTGTGTGTTTGTGGGGCTGGGGTATCTGAATCTAAAGATTGCTTGTGTGTGAAACATTTTCTCTGAAATGTAAAGTCTAAAACCTGTGAAGAACGTTATTGTTTAATAATATCATTATTTTTATTTTTGCTGTTTGTTAGTCTAACCTCAAAATAATGAAAGTAGAAACCTTGCTCTCATTCTTAGCAGTTCAGTTTGCTGTGACGCTAATGCTGTTGCTTTTCCCCTGCAGTGAGCCCAGACGGCCAGCGGGTGTCCTCGTGCTCAAGATGGTCTTGTATATTGTCATCAAATAAAGTTTTGGGAAAAAAGACTCCCTGTGACTCTTCATTTATGTTGTCTTTTCACAGTTATGTAATTAAGTTCAGTGCACATCATGTTTTTGATATATTGTTTTTATGTAAAATAACAAAAAGAAAGTTACACTTGTTTCATAATTTGTTGTTTAGGGGTATCACTATATT